AGGCAGACCCTGCACCCACAGCATCTGTTGTTGGAGTATATGGTGTTGCCCAGGCTAGTGGGGGTGCTACAGCAGCGTTGGTGAGAGACCCTATGGCAGGCCATGCTCAGGAGTTGGGGTTTGTTTGGCTGCATAGTCTCTGTGTCTCAGGGACCTCTCCTCTGAGCTGCTCTTATATACTCACCACTCTGGGCACCAGGCCATTATCCTAGATTTTTCCTTCCATTTCATCTTATAGTAATCTCCATAAAAGTATCTAATTACCTAGGTCTTTATTACTTTTAGGTGTATGTCTTTCCTCATTAAACGGCTTTAGTTCAGTTTATTGCCAAATTAGTATTCTTTACCATAGCTGTCACTGCTGGGAGAGCTCTACTTTAGCCTTCAAAGGCCCTAAATTAGCAGTTCCAAGTCACCAAACAGCATTAATGATGAGTTGGAATATAAATATCTATTATTCTCTAGCGTGTCTTAAACACAAAAATTTATTGAAGAGATGTTCCAGTACATACACAAGTCAAGTGAATAGTGTAATGATTTTCACATCATCATTTCAGCTTCAACAATTTCTCAGCATTCTGTCATTCTTGCTTTATATATCCACCCTCACACTTTTTTGTTTATATTTTAAAAGCAAGTCCCCCCAATTTTATCATTTTTATCTATCAAAACCTTAGTGTATCATCTCTAACCAACTTTTCTTTTTCAAATCACTGAAATGGTCAAGAATCAATATTTTATTGGTTAATTTTTTTAACCTGCAAAGTATTATGATGTGAGTTTTATATGGTAACAATTTGAACTCTACGTTATGCTAAACATCAAGCACCTGTTAGCTGAAGAGACTCAAACGTTTTAATACACAAGATGTTTAGACTACAGTTCCTTGGTTGTCAAAAACAATGATTACTGGTGCCAAATAATTAAAATATTGTGCCAAGTCATCTCAGCAAAATGGGAATACTGAGTATCTACCAATTATTGTTATCTTACAGTATTACAGGAATTAAAAGTCAGAAGTTAGATATTTATGTTATCTACAGTACAGTATATATTTAAGGATGGCATTGTTTAGAAGACTGGAAAAATCCTCTTGGAATAAACACTATTCTCTCAATGTTATAGGTCAGTAAAACACAACTGTATCTGGTGGACACAGTAGAGAAATGGCAATTTTGACAAAGGAGTGCTTCCAAAGGCATTTCCTTTAGAGGTGGCTAAGGTTTTTCCACAATACTGAAAGACTAAGTAATGTGGTGTAGCTATCTTCACCAAACTTCCACTTAGGCATATTATGGTACATGTTGCCAAACTACTATTCTTTCTGTCCACCATGCTGACTCCAATATTCCATGATCCACTGTAATCTTTTGGTCTTCCCTCTTGCGGTGTGGCAGCCTGTGCTGCTATCCATTGAGGAGGTAGACCACTAATTCATAGCTGGCCATCATAATGGCTGTGTTTGGAGTCTGTCTCACCAAATGAGTTGTTAGACCATGGTAGAGGGACCCGTAACCTTCTTCTTGAACCACCAAAGACAGTGTCTGAAAAAAGGATCTATATTTTGTTCCTTCACGTAGTCTTGTTCTTACAACTTTATGTAGATATGCTATAGTTGTGGCACAAGTTTTTGAGGTGGCAGCAGCAAGTATCATTCCTACAAAATCTGATGCTTCTTTTACAGACTCTTCACCATTTTCTATCATAGAAGCAGTCTTACACTCCAGTAGTATTTGCTTTATATTTTCATAAATAACAAAATGGATAACAGTCTCTGATATGCCAGCATAGGAAGCAGACATGTCCCGGTAAAATCCTTTAAGTCCATCTGTTTGATACACTTTACGGACACATTCAAAAGCACCCGTTTGCTTTTCCCCACGGTTCCTTGCATCAAGCTGTAACCGAGTTTTTATAAGCCAAATGGGGTTGGTGGCAGTGATTGCAGTAAAACCTGCCACTGCAGCTGAAATCATGTGAACCTGGGTAGAATCAGGATCAAATACACCATTCAATTTTTCCTTGCAGTTGGAGTAAGCAGCAAAGCATATGGCTCTGGAAGGGGCCACCCCCACTATATTGGGGCCTAATCCTCTCAACAAGGAACGAGGCCCTTCTTTTTCCAAGATTACTTTTAGGCAATGGAGGGGTCCAGGAGACACTACTCGGTTAACACTGGCTCCAGCCATGGTGTTCAGCTGAACTTCAGAGATATAAAGTGTCACAGAAGACGACTGCAGCTGTGTTCTTACAACTTCCAGTGGACATGTCAGAGTAGCTCCCACTGTGCCACCACATCCCCCGGCAAACAGATGCACCAGCGTGTCCCTCTGGCTCATTCTCTCCCCAGCATGTCCTCTGGGCGCTGAGGGGGGACGCGGCTGGGGCTGCCTGCTACTGCGGGCGACTTAGGTCCCGGAAGGAGACGTACAACGCCTCTAACCAACCTTTAAAAAAGACACAGCTAATATATCCTTATATCAAACAAACTTGGTGATATTTCTTTGTTGTCATGTAACACTCAATCTATGTTCACTTTTCTGCAGGTGTTTCGAAAGTCATTTTACAGTTGGTCTCGCTGAGTCAGGATCTAAATAAAGTCCATATACTGCATTTAGTTGATGTGTTTCTCAGCTTTTTTTCTTAAATTAGTCTCAAACTGTTCGCTCTTCATTTGTTTACTTGTTTTAATGCAGTGTAGTATTTGTTGAAGAGAATGAGTCATTTGTCCAGCAGAATTTCCCACATTCTATATTTGGCTAAATAACCCCACAGTGTATATAACATGATTTTATATTCCCTGCGTTTCTTTTAAACGTAGTTATATCTAGAACGTAGGTTTGATTTAGGTTTGATTTCTTTCTAGCGAGGATATACTTCATAGCTGGTGCTACTGCATGGTATCAAGAGGTCTATATGTCTGGTTGTTCCACTTTTAGTGATAATAATATTGACCAACAGGTGCCCTGGTGGTTGCCCAGTCCGTGCATGATAGAATTCTTCATCTACTTTTCATGTTTTTAGTAACCATTGATTTAGCCTCAGTCTGAAGGCCACAGGCATTTCTTGGGACACTGCTTTCTCAGAAGTAGCCAGCTTGGGCATCTAGCAGTCATCCCTGATGGTTAGTGGGTCTTTCCAGAGGTCTGATCATCTACCAATGCTAACACCTCAGGACGTAGAGTGATTGCCCACACATATGGGACATAATCCCTGTGAAATTTCAAAATCAGCTATTCTGTTTTTAAAAGTAGATAAACTTAAGGGCCAGGGATTTAGCTCAGTGGTTTTGCTGCCTGCTGCACAAGCGCAAGGACCTGAGTTTGATCCCTGGTGCCAAAAAAAGAAAAGTAGCTAAACTTCATATACTGCTTTTAATTTGATCCTACCTTGCTGGATTCTCGAGTCTATGTAAGTTTACAAAGATTGCCTTGCTATTGATTTGAAAATTGAAATTATTATGAAGCTAATGCTTTGTAATAGAGTCTGGTATTTAATGGATAAACTAATGCATGCTGTCATGCCAGAAATATCTAGGTCTCAGTTCAAATTTTATAAAATACTACATTTTTAATGTGATACTGGTCTGACAGCTCTGAAACAGTCCAAAATAATAGTGGCTTAAATACGAGAGACAATTCACTTCTATATTCTAAAGAGTTATGAACTGGTAGGCAGTTTGAAGAGAAGGAGCAGCTTGTTCCCCAGGGTCATTCAGGGGCTCATCCTCCTTCTACCCAGTTATCCAGCCTAGGGTGTTACCCTGTCCGCATGGTGGAGAAGCTGGCTCACTACTAGGACATAGTACAGCATGGGGAAAAGCGTGGAAAACCAGCACCTCCTTTTAGGGGCATGGCCTGGACAAGGAACCTTAGAGACCATCAACAAGAACTCACTCATGTGGGCAATATTTAACTACAAGTTATATTGGGAAATATAGTCTCAAACTTGGCAGCCATGTGCTCTTGAATGACCCAGAGAATCAGTTACTAAAAGGGAGCAGAAAAAGAAGGCTGTTAAAGATCAACTAGTACTCTTCACTGAACTCTAACCCCCAGTTTCCTCATCTGTAGATGGGGATGACAGTACTCTCCTCTGTGGCTGTTAGAATTAAATGCATGAATGGATTGATGTAATGGTGCATTTAGTTCTACACCCTTGGGTTCTCCATAAGTTATTCTGTGTATGGAGCCCAGGAGGAGGCAGTACAGTCTCACATCACAGAAAGAACAGAAGCTTTAGACTCATGGCTGACTTGAGTCTGATTGTTTTAGTTATGTGACTGAGGATACATTTCCTAGCTTCTCTGATCCTCCATAAAATGAGGCCTGAACTCAGGAATCTTAGAAGAATTAAATGGAAAAGTACATAAAAATATGTAGTCCATTGCTTGACATGTGGAAGACATACATACATTGCCTGACATGTAGAAGATGTACAGTGCTAAATTATAGCGAATTGCTGAATAGGGTAAATTTTTAGATAAACATTCATGATGAGGGGAAGATCATTGTGTAAAATAAGTTTGAAGCAGGCTGCTGCCAAACATTTTAAACTGGTCCTGTGCAATCATCAGTCTTTGTGGTTTTAGTTAGAATACGTGGCACTTAAGCCTGAGCCAGTGCTCTCTAAAAAGGTCTCTGCAAGGTACAGGCATCAGAATCACCAGAGATGCTAGGTAAAATGCAGGTTCCTGCCCCTTCTCGCTGTTCTCCTGTGAAGCTCTTGGTTCAGAATCTCTGGGAATAGTGACTGAAGTGCCACATTTTTGCAACCTCCAAAGTGATCTTTATTCTATCAAAGTGGATCCATAGCACTTATTCAAATTATTTGAACACTTGCATAATTAGTACTTTGAGAAGAGTGATTCATTTTACGTAATTTCAGACAAATAAGATTAGAACTCTTGGTTTTTAAAAATGAGTTCAGGGATGACGTATATTAATCCCAAAGAATCCCAGCCATAATAAAATAACTGTTTGCTTTGAATTTCTTTTAGTTATTGAGGAACCAGAGATTTCCTGCCTCCTATCACCATGCAGTGGAAACTGTTGTGAATATGCTGATGCCACACATCACTCAGAAATTTCGAGATAACCCTGAGGCATCTAAGAATGCAAATCATAGCCTCGCTGTCTTCATCAAGGTGGGATCTTCCTCAGATGTGACTAAGATGGGCTCTTTAAGTAGCTACCTTGCAATGACTAGAGCAGGTGCTCCGACAGTATTGGTGGCCTATTTTTATGCTGAAGTATAAACTTACTGACAGTGGGTGCTGTTTAGAACCCTGATTTCCAAAAAGTTTGGGCTTGAAAGGACCTTTGTGGTTGTCTTGCTCCACAGAGATGCTTCACCTTCATGGACAGGGGCTTCGTCTTTAAGCAGATCAACAACTACATCAGCTGCTTTGCTCCTGGAGACCCCAAGGTAGCGTGGCTCTTGTATCCTGTTCTTGTGTCTTGCTGACTCCCATCTGGAAATCTACCTGTCCTTCTCCAATCTTGGGAATTTTCTTTCAGTTCCAGTGGGACAGCTCACACCTCTCTTGGAAATACTGGTACTTTCTTGCACTGATACATGTGAGATATTAGGGATAGTCATCGAGAATGAGAAACATTCCAGTTGGTTTTCTCTCAAGCACTCAAAATAACTTCTCAGCTGAAAAACTAAAAGTACATATGTTGAAAGTTACAGCTTACTTCACAAGAGAACTAACCATGTATCCTTTCTCTGGTGGAATTATCTGCCTCTCCTCTTGTTTTTTATTTTTAAAGCTCTGCCTTACTAGTTTTTTTATTATTGTATTGAGTCTGTATCTATAATTACAAGCTACTTGAAATACTTTATGGAAATAAGAGGAGCATAAGTAGGAAATGCCTTATAAGTCAGCTGAGGACACTGTATAATGAAATCTGTTTTCAGATAAATTCCTATAGCCATTTTAAAATCTGTAAAATTGAATACAGGATGCAGTTCCCAAAGGGTCAAGGAGCTGAAACCTCTATAAAGTAGCCAGTTTTTCATGGGCCCTATAAAATAGCCAGTGAGGTATTTAGTTTATAACTAAACACTTTTTCCTACAGACTCTCTTTGAATACAAGTTTGAATTTCTCCGGGTGGTGTGCAGTCATGAACATTATATTCCTTTGAACTTACCGATGCCATTTGGAAAAGGCAGGATTCAAAGATACCAAGGTAATCTATCTTTATATGTATTAATCATTCCATAAAGAGAGCCATTCATTTTAATGAGTATCCATTCAAATATTGTACTAGAATTTCTTGATTTTTTTATCAATGAATTAACTTTTTTCTTGTTAAATTTCTATTTCAAAAAGTATCGATAAAATATTACATGAAAACTTACTTTTTAGCAGACTACAGATCATGCCAGTTGTGACTCTTTTTTTCATTTAAAAATTTCTTTAAACAATACAAATCCATTTTATTTACTGTAGTTTATTTTTATTTGTTTCACTCTTCCATTTTCCTTGTGAATTAGCTTTGCTTTCACCAACTGTGGAGTCAGATGACACTCCTGTAGGTAGGTATGGGATGTGACACTTGCTTTCTTGCATTTTCCTCCTTCTAAAAAAAAGGAATGCAAGTGATTGCTGAAGTGCTTACATAAGCCATTCATTTAGGATTTCCTGTGTACTTCAATCAATTCTTAAACTCATGATAAACTGGAAGATTTGTTTCCACTCTGGCTAAGACATTGCTGTAACATCCCAGGGAGCCATCTTGCTCCTGAGGTCACTAGGTCCTCTGGGATGTTTCTTGAAGAAGTAGAACAAAGAAAGCCCTAGTTCACCCCAAAAATGTATTTCCCCACTTCCATAGCCCTTGTCCATAGTGATAGCAGCAGCCCAATTGCCAGCAACATGGCTTTTTCAGATGCTTTTTGCATTTGCATGTTGAGTCTTTATTAACTGTTCTGTGTCCTCTGTAATTTTAAAGAGAGTTGAGCTCAGAGAGGTTACTTTGTCTTCACTGAGTAAATGAAGTTGAAAAATTTTGTTTGGTCAGTCAGGTTATATTCATCAAGTTTAATGCTTTCTATATGCTCACATTTCCTTGTGCTAAAGGAGAAAAAGTGGAAGGGTGTCACCAAACTATTAATGACATCTCTGAAATTCAGAGAGAAACGTAGACATTCAGAAACACATATTTTCCCTCCAGACACACTTGCACAACCTTACAAGGAGCAAGCAGGGAAATAGTGGCCCTGCATTTGATATTCATGTATTCAAAAACTACTTAGACAGCACCAGGTACATCTGGCTTTGGGATATAGCTGTGGACAAATTGGATGAAAACCTTTGACCATTTTATATAAATAAAATACTCTGAAGTTTAGAGACTGGATAAATACTAAGGAGAAAAAAATAGTTTGGAAAGGGAGATGTGAAAAACCATAATGGTTGAGATAGGGTGGCCAGATACCAGTTGGGGGATAAAGAAATTGAGCCAAGCATGCATGAGTCTAGGAGAAGGCTTCGTGGGCTGAGGGGACAGCAGGGCATCCAACATACACAGTCTAACCCAGGCCCATTTCTCTGGTCTCATGCCCCAGGGGTCCCCGAACTTTGGGCATACCTGCTTACTCCCAGCTTTTCAAATATGCCATGCCCACCTTGACACCCCTCACTTTCACATAGCCTCTCTCTGGGGAATCTTCCTTTTCCTCTCCAGAAGTCACACAGTACCTACCGCCTGTGGGGCTGCCGGGAGCTCCTTGGCTTCTCCCCTGACCTGAACCAAATCTCATTGTACCCTCCCTCACTTCACAGTCACCTGGATTTGGGCACTGCAGTCTTCTATCCTTTCCCCTGCTGGGTGCTGAGAGGAGCTCTTTATGCCAGAGATTGGGCAGGGAACATGTGCTAATGCCCATCTTGCCCTCTGAGTGGGCTGGGCCAAATTGTTGGTCATGCAGAACTGAGTGAAACGGAAATCCTTCAGGTGGCCTGTGGACTTGCACAAGCTCTCGGTGGACTTCAGTGCTTTTGATAGCAAAGAGGGCTGCCCTAAGCAGGTGGGCATGGGCCATATATGGATACTATGCCTTGCCACACTGATAAAAATAAGTTTTTTATGCACACACACCTGTACATGTGTATGCCGTCTGCACAGGTCTTCAAGCACATGCACAATTAAGCCATAAATAGTTTCCTTCCAAGAGATTTGTATGAATTCTAGCTGTGAACTATAGTTGGGATAAAATGAGTTTAATAATCATAAACAGTGAATGTGATTGTTCTAGAAAAGTAAATACCCTTTCCCTTCTACTAAAGAGTTTCATAAGACTGGGGTTAATATTTCAGTTAGATTTGGAAGTAACTATTCAGTATAGGGTTAAAGTCCAAGGGGAAGGATCTGTAGAATTTCCATTAATAATGGAGTCAGTATACCAACTCAAATCCTAGTATGCAGCGTTAGAGTGGTGTTAGCTGCTTTTATTTACCCTCCCTCACTGGAGTTCATGTTTGCCTCTGTCTTTTCCAGAAGGGCTTTGAGTTTTGCCATTTAGCTTGCTGCTGAGTTACTAGTTTGGTTTGGTGCTTTGTCCATTTCAGTTTTAATTTAGGTTGTTTTTTTTTTTCCTTTGGTGGTACTGGGGATCGAACTCAGGACCTTGTGCTTGTGAGACAGGCACAGTGCCACTGAGCCAAATCCCTGGCCCTCAGTTTTAGTTTATATTAATTTTCTTTTTTTTTGCTTTTAGAGATACAGAAGTGGTAAGAGAATATTTTAGACTGCAATAAATAAATTCTTCAGTGATAGCAGAATAGATAGATTTTGTACAAATTTGATTTTTTTAAACACGTTGAGTTTCATGTGGACTCAATGGGCATTGATGATGAGGAAAGAGATAACTGAACTCAAGATGTAAATAACATTTTAATTAATACATATATTTCTTTAATTAATTTTTAATTAGTACATATATTTATTCTTTACATATTTTATGTATATATTTATTAATTAGTATAGTGACTATTTTGTAACTTTGTCAGTTACAAAAAATTATATTTGTAATAGAACATGTGCTATTTAACATTCTAAAAATTGGTATGAAAACTGTTCACTAATATAGTTGTGTAGGATTCTATATGTTCCAAAATAAAAATCCAGTATAATTCTTCACATATAAGTTTGGTTTTTACATAGGAGTTTGATGTGTTAAAAATTAGAGCAGCAGGGCTGGGGATTTAGCTCAGTGGTTTTGCCGCCTACTGCGCAAGTGCAAGGACCCGAGTTCGATCCCTGGTACCCAAAAAAAAAAAAATTAGAGCAGCATTTTAAAATTAGTCCTTTCCTGTTTGAAGCCAGGTCTAATCATGTGTTCATGTACACAGGGTGGGCTGGGTTAAGTTTTTATTTTATTCAGAGAGCATTAGGTCCTCCCTAACTAAAGTAGCTTCTACCCTCCTTTCAGATCTCCAGCTTGACTACTCATTAACAGATGAGTTCTGCAGAAACCACTTCTTGGTGGGACTGTTACTGAGGGAAGTGGGCACCGCCCTCCAGGAATTTCGGGAGGTCCGTGTGATTGCCATCAGTGTGCTCAAGAACCTGCTGATAAAGCATTCTTTTGATGACAGATACGCATCTAGGGTGAGTGGTCCCCAGGGTATACATTGAAAAATGTTCTTTACTTTAAGTGATAATAAAGTCACCAATTAGAAAACTCATGGTAATAGCCCTAAGACTTGATTTTAGAATAAAATCAAATATTTCTCTTTACAAAGAAGGATCCAAATAAAACAAATAACTGACACCAACTTGGGTCATTATTCACATCTCAGAGCTGTGGAAAAACTTACTGTGTGTATCTTTGTTTCAGAGTCATCAGGCAAGGATAGCCACTCTCTACCTGCCTCTGTTTGGGCTACTTATTGAAAATGTCCAGCGGATCAACGTGAGGGATGTGTCACCCTTCCCCGTGAACCCAGGCAGTGTACGTAAGCATAGTTACATGGTCACAGCTTGTTTTATTGTCTGCCATAGAAGAGCAGAAATTTAATTTCTCATGGTTGAAAAGCCAGAAGTCCAAGTCAAGGCGTCATCAGAGCCTCTAGGGAAGAATCTGCCCCATGCGTCTCTCTCAGCTCCTGGTGGATGCTAGCAGTCCTCAGTGTTCTTTGGCCTCTGGCTGAATGTCTTCTGCTTTTGTCTTTGCCTGGTGTTCTGTCCTAAAGGCAGCTCACTGATCTCACCCAATGTAACATCAGCCTCCTCGCGCATGTTCTCTAACTCTCTCTAAGCGGAATAAATTACTCAGGATGGAATGCAGCCTCCCTGCCCTGTTTCATTCCTGAGAAAAATGAATATAAGGTGTTTCTTTGGCTTTTATCAAAGAAAAATCCCTCTTTTTGATATAACTTTAAAATTAATACAGTTTCTCCACTGACAGAGAGTTCATGTTAAGGTCCAAGGATCCAGAAAGAGTCATTGGTTCTGTTGTAACTTTCTGTGGCTCCTTTGGGAGGGAAAAACCAGTGCTCCAGTTAGAAAAAGCAGGGAGGCTTTTACTGCAGGAGGAAAGTTCTGAAACAGTGTAAAGAAAAGTTGGGTATGAGAGCTTGGACAAGGGAAAGGTGCTAGAACTGCTAGGGGAAGAGAAAGGATGACTTCAGGGAGCAAGACTTCTATGCCTCCCCGCCACCCCAATGTCCCCTGCCCTCCCCTACTCACCTCTTTTCTGATCTCTTTCCCATCTCCTCCGTCATCCATGCTGCGTGGCTGCTTCTCCCACTCAGGCTCACTGAGCGTGCCAGGCTGTTCTGTCTTGTCCCTACCTTTCCTCACACTCCAAGAACAGTTGGTGAATCTCTTTCAGTCGTCTTTGATTGATTCTTCTCTCTCCTCTTTGACAGACTGTGAAGGATGAGCCCCTTGCTCTGCCAGCTGGGAATGCACTTGTGACGCCACAGAAGGGAAGCACGCTGGACCACAGCCTGCACAAAGACCTCTTAGGTGCCATCTCTGGCATTGGTAATGCTCCGTGCTCTTACAGGCCTCTCTCTGGGGTCACACACAGTGCCCATAATCTGAGGGTTGTTAATGTGTTGCACCAGGGGATTAGGACTTGGGTGTCTGAGTGTCTGCCTTGCGTATTCTTTCTGGTGGTGATGTTTCATGACAAAAATCCCTTAACTGTAATGACTGTAATAAAAATTCCAAAATTCTTGTGACTCCTGAACATAGTGCATTTAATCACTCACCTAGGCTGTTTGCTGTTTATTAAATGCTTGTTAAGTTGATTTGACATTTTAAATCTTTGAACTGGAAGTGCCCAGCTAGCTCAGTCAGTAGGGCACGAGCCTCTTAAATCTTTTCTTTTTTTTTTTTTTTCGGTACCGGGAATCGAACTCAGGTCCTTCCACTTGTGAGGCAGGTGGCGGAACCACTGAGCTAAATCCCTGGCCTGAGACCCTTCAATCTTAATTGGATTATTTATATTTTTCGAAATGAATATCTTTGCAGGTGTTGGGGGCAAGATTTACTTGTAATGTTGATGATTTAAATAAAATGTGACAAAATGATTCCTGAAAGAAATAGAAGTTCATGGCTAGGACTCAATCTTAAAATCAGTTTTCAGAAATTGATTTTTTTCCTACATGAAACAATGGAAGAGCAGCCCCCATGGGGAGGAAAACAGATGGTGCAAGCTAAGATTCAAATAGAATTGTTTTTCCATAAGAAAATGCTTGAGAAAATATAACTATTTATATTCTGACTAATGGAGCTGCAGCTTCATAAAGATAATGGTACTGTATCTTTTTCTCAAGTAATACAGATGTTGATAGTCTTCTGTTTCTCCGTCTCTTTACCACACTTTTAATAAATGAAGCATCCTACTGTGGCTAGTGGTTAAATTACCCATTAATAACACAAACTTGGGGGCAGAAAAAAGTACACTCTTTTAATCCAATTAATTGTCCATCCCGACAGCATGTTCTTAGTTTTGTATTATTATTAATATGCCATTTTACATGGTAGGTGATGAAACAGGGAAAATGTAAAATAAGAAAGCCCATACCAATGCCCAAATTTATCCTACACTACCACTAACAATTATCTTATTTATATTTATGTATATTTTTCATAGTTCTACTCCCCTCATTTAGCATTGTAAAAGTTAATCTGTTCAAATGCTTGGAACAGAGACTGGCACACAGTAAATACGTAGCAAATGTTGGGTGCTCTTGCAAGTTTCCATTTGCCCATTTTTGGAGCCTTCGTTCTGTTTCTGTCCTGCTCTGTCTACATGTCAAGCTGCTGCCCTGGGAGTGGGGAGGTGACTGGTCTGCAGCAGTTCATGCCAGTAGCTTAGATGAGACAGGTGTGGCCTTGGGTCTGATCTCCACCATTATTTGCCATGGGTAGAGTGTCCACCCTCTGTACCCTCCATATCCACATCTCCTAAACAGCCATTGTCAGAGATAGAGAGTTAATGTGGGGTGTACAGTGCTTGGCATGGTAAAACTCAGTATTAATATTTGACTGACTGTCATTGTAACAAATCTGGTTGAATTAGTTCTTCATGCTTTCTGGTAGCTCTCAGTAGCCAATTAGTTGAGTCCACAAGCCTAAGAGTGTGTCAAAAAATTTAATATCTGTCTTCTGTGATGGTACTCTGTGGAATCATAGGTTCCTTTTTCTGTGTACCAAGTGCGTTGGACTATTGTGTATGAAGGAGAGAAGGATGAACTAAACTTTATATTTTACTTATTGTTTGAAGTCTTTAAAAGTTAGACCTTGCACCAGAATGTTAAATACACACACACACACACACACACACACACACACACATGCACACGCACAATCCACAGGAACAAACTACATATGTTATTTTTGACTTCTGTATTTGCATCTACTTGCCTTAAATTAGGACTCTTGTTTTAGGATAAAGCCTAAAAATCTGAGAATTTAGGGTCTAATTTTACTTTATTGAGGAGCTCTTTCTCCTGAACTCTATGTTCTATCTCAACTGTGAATACAGTTATATTAGGAGAATTATAACTTGATCATATTATATGTTTCTTTACCCTTCATCTAGAAAAATGGTCATTTTTTTTCATAGGGTTTCACCTACTTCTGTGACAATCCATCATATGGTCTCTATTTGGGAAATGCAACCTGTGGCTTGTATTAAAGCCCCTGTTCTAGCTTGAAAATTGTATTGAAAATACAATATTTTCAAATTCCTCCTGCTCTTCTTTTCTTGGTCATAATACACTAAGTCAATTTAGAGATAATAGTGAATAAATCAGAATGTTTGGGAAGGGAAGGATTTACAACCTTTATGTTATAGGTCTGAGGTTAAAGACAGTCTTGATGTTGGCTTGAGAAAGGACTTATTAATACCATTAGCCATCAACTTTTTTTAATTAAAAAACGTTATTATCAAACACACACACATACAAAAAATTAAAATCATTCAAAGAAGAACAGTGCAAGGGGAAAAAAACCAATAATATTCAAATACAGTAGAACTCAACCAAAGCAAAACTGAAAAGCACTTAAACATTTTTTCATGTAACTTAAAAAAGCATCTCAAACACCAACAAGACACCAGAGGATGTGATTTGTTTCAGAAAGGTCCCCAAAACCAACATTGAACAAATAATGATCTGGAAAAAAATTCCAGTTAGTTAGCCGACTCCACATAAGCCAAAGTTCTGCCAAATTTAAATTTTGATACAGTCATATGACGCGCAATGGAAACACAAAGCCATCAACTTTTAAAAGTATGACAAAAAATATTTTTGGTGTGACTCAGGAGCTGGTTACATTTGTTTTGTTACTTATTTTTTAAACTTAGAGGTATCTCAGTCCAGGCCAGCTAATTTGCCTACCGAAGTCTGAAAGTATCTAGCCTGCTGTGGGTACCAGTCTAGGAGGCTGTAGTTATAGCTGCCAAACCCCGTGCCAACAGACTCCTCATGCCAGCTGCAAACCCAGCCAGGCCTTTCTGCTACAAGAAGGCATTTTGGTTCAGCACAGAATGTACAAGTCCAATGAGTCATTTTTAATTATGTAATTTATTTAACTCTTATTTAAACAGGAAGTCAGTATTACTTCAAAAAAATTTCTTAGAGCCAGGTGTGGTGGCACATGCCTGTAATCCCAGCGCTCAGGAGGCTGAGGCGGGACGATCACCATGAGTTTGAGGCCAGTCTGGGGTACATAGTGAGTCTGAGGCCAGCAAACAAAAACAAAAAATTCCTTAGTACCAAGGAGGAGGCTGACTTCAAATGCTGTTTTTTCAGGGGCGTCACAAAGTTTATTTCCAAATTAGATTTCCTTTCTGTTCATAACTTTATGACAGAGATTTCCAAATATTCTCAATGCACAGACAGTGAGAGTGGACCTTATTGTCATGGTAATTTTTCATTGTATCTCCAAGCCAAAACTAACAGTTCTGTTTACTAAAACTTACCTGTTAACAGTCCTGTTTACTAGATACCTAAAACCAAATAACTTAATAAATATTTACATTTTAACAATTTAGTACGCATTTAAAAATATGCAAATTAAAAAATATATTTCATATCATTTTTAATAACGACAACTATTACTAAAAGGTTATGTGTGCCTAACAGAAACTCGCAGCTTTTTACGCTTTAGAATCAGATTGGTCTACCACCATTCTCACTTCCTGTTCCACAGTGATTTTGTCCAGAACTTGCCTTTTATCGTAGCATCTACCAAATACCCAGCTGCACAAAAATAGGAAATTATCAAAAGGAACATAGGATCCAATATTTAAACTGCAATTTCTGGCCAGTGTCGAGTAACATTTGTTTTCCTTAAACAGTTAAAATACCCCATGACACCACAGAGTTCGCTTGTGCACCTCTGTATAGTTTGTATATCATGGGTTTGTTGTACGGTTTAATCTTTGGATAGTTGTATGTGTGCTTACCTTATAACTTTTTATCTTCATCCCATCCCATTCTAAAACAGTGTTATGCCCCTATAGTCTAACCACCAAAAGTGGTTTACATGGCAAGTGACTTGACATTTGTGCTTGAATGTTTCAGATAAAAGTTTATTTTTTAAAACTCATTCTGTGTAATGACCTGGTTCTTCAAAGATTAAGTAATTGAGTACAACTCCTGAGCCAACTTCCTAACAAAAAAAATAAGTGCCATAAAAGTAATTTACCTTAAGATTGTTAGTACTTATCTTTATTTTGTTCTGTCTTATGAAAACTTTGGTCTTGCCTTAATTTCTGTTTAGCTTCTCCATATACAACTTCAACTCCAAACATCAACAGTGTGAGAAGTGCTGACTCAAGAGGGTCTCTTATAAGCACAGATTCTGGTAACGGCCTTCCAGAAAGAAATAGTGAGAAGAGCAATTCCCTGGATAAGGTAATTTCTTTTCATGTAATATAAGTGTTTTGTATAACTAATGGATTTAGCCCAAAATAAACGTGCTTCATGTTCTAGGGTTTGTCAAATGTAACTAAAAAACACCAAACAAACAACTTGGTTGACCTGGGATACATAATCAGAACTTTGTCTAAGGTTAGAGGCCTGTCTCCTGAAACTCTTCCCTTTTTTAAATTTAAATTTAAATTTAATTTAAATTTTATTTTTATTTTATTTTAGTGTGTGTGTGTGTGTGTGTGTGTGTGTGTGTGTGTGTGTGTTGTGTTGCTAGGGATCAAACCCAGGGCCTTACACATGGTAGGGAAACGCTTTACCACTGAACTTCTCACCCAGCCCCTTGAAACACTTGATTCCTGTTTCTGGGATCTCAGATCAGGGTATCGTGTACAATGCAGTGCCTTGAATGAATGATTCCGGCAGGTTGGCACTTAGGGAATCAAAATGCTCTCTGTTTAGATGTTCACAGTGTGTTGGAGGATACCACTTATAGCACAGTATCCATGCACAGGGCTTAGGTCCAAAGCCAGCTCCAGAAAAGATTAATTGATCATATCAGTGATTGAAGGATGAGACATGATTTGAAATCACTATATCCACCCTGGACCCACTATACTTCCTCCCATACTTAACCTTTTTTCTTAAAATTAATGAAGGCTCAAACTCTGGAACTTGGTGGCAAAACATAAAGCTTGAATTTAAACCTGGAACCATAATAGATTTGGTATCACCTTAGCAAGTTTTCCTATGTTATTTCAAGGAATAGGAAAGCACCTCTACCTGTAAATAGGTAGGGATGTGTTCCTAGTTCTAACAAAATGTCCAAAAAACATCCTAGTTTGTGATCATGTCACACAATCCATGTTTGGCATTGAGGTGACTGTCTTTCAGTGCAGTTGTGTCAGGGCACAAGCATCTCAGTCTGAGCTTGTGTCATGACATGCTGAACTTCTCCCTTGACCCCGACATGCCTTCGTGTGTAGAGGGAAAAGCTGCTCCGAAGGCACTCCACTTTTGTCATACGCAGTGCTGGAGAGGAGGAGGAGAGCTGCCAGTCAGCCAGGAAAAACCGGGTCACTGTGGACTTTTCCCTTCTCACGATTCCACCTTTGCCAGAAGAACTGCTGCATGCTCCACCCTCCCTCCCACCAAAAGAAGTACTGAGATCTCCTCATGGCCCCGATTAAACGAGTGGGCGAGTTGATGCATCCACACCAGTTTTGCCACTAGTTGCATTTCTTCCTTAAACAAAAAAAAATGTTCACATATCTAATTAATTAACCCTGTTTATTATGTAGATATATTCAGTTGGCCACCCACACCTTCAATGAAACATCATTTTTTACTGATGTTTTTGCTTTGGTATTTGGCAAAAAATGTTTCTGATTTCCACTGGAAATATAACTTGGAGGATTTTTAAATCTCCTGTGTTTTTAATTAAGAGATGAGATTCATGTTCTGTTTTTTCTTAATCTGAACCTGCTGTATAGTGGTAAAACTGCCCCTCTGACCTGAGCTTTTTGACGTTTGCAGTATTGAGCTAAGCTGATGATGGAATAACCTCATCAGTTTACGGTCTTTGGCAGTGCTGTGCTGAGGTGCCCCTATTGGTCCAGTTGGGTACCTGCCAGGTGTACTCCCCCAGCGATGCCCATGACACACCCCACAGTGTCCCCGAATGGCAGCGCCTCGCTCTGGGCTTGTGTGGCTGGTACACAGCAACCCCTCAGGCTTCCCTTGCTGTTGCAGCCACAGCTGTTCTCCTGAGGAGATGGGCCGGTGAGCTGTCTTCTGCATCTTTACTTCTCTGTGTGATCCTTGCACACATGCTTTTTTGCATGAAGTTTTATTTGGCATAACTGAAAGTGTGGTTATCCAGTGTGAAAGGTTTCTGCCTTCCGGCTTGTCCCTTAGGAAAATGTGCAAAGGGGACAAGCCAGAAGTCTAAGAAGCAGCATTTGTGTATATACAAGGGTGAAGGTGTGCCTGTTGTGTTATGCTTTCCAATTTAAGTCTGATTCTTCCTCTTCCAAGGGAGAAAAGTGAAATGAATTTTCTCCCCTGTAATGAAATAGAAAAATTACTTGTATTTCCCTTTTTAGCACCAACAAAGTAGCACTTTGGGAAATTCTGTGGTTCGCTGTGACAAACTTGACCAGTCTGAGATTAAGAGCCTACTGATGTGTTTCCTCTACATCTTAAAGAGCATGTCTGATGGTAGGTAAAAATTGAAGATTTCTGTTTTGCTTTGTTTCAGTATTTAATATTTTTTATTGCAATTACTTGAAAAATATAAGGATATAAGAGAATTTTATCTGAAAATTTGGTAGAAATAAAAGACTTACTGTGGAAAAATAGCTTTGTTAATTATTTTACTCTAGAAAATGAACTCTAAAATGTGAATGGGACTATTTTCTAAACTTTTATTAAACTTGGGCCTTCCATCATAACTAAAACACAGGCAGATGAATGAAGTAGCTTTTGATTTTTTTAAATTTTGTTTATCCAAACAAACTTACTGACAACTTGAATAACTATACTAGTCAGTCTCATGAATTAGAAAATATATTTTCCAGGGATGTATGCATTTAGAAGTATGTGCATGATCTTCCCGGCTTTAACTGGGAAGTATATTGTTTTAGTTTTCTAATGAAAGTAGTGGTATCGTTGTAGATTATGTTACTGAGTAAGAGTGTGATGACCACACCTTTTTAATAAAAATGAGCAGAACTATTAATGCTTTATCTGTATCAAATGAAGCATATAAACATATATGATAGGACAGTTTCAACCCTGGCTTTGTAATTTAACCAGTTCCATGAATTATGTCCCTTATAGTGTCGTAATTCTTATCCTGGTCAAAAATGTGGTATATTTTCCCTATAACAAATTAGAAGGTTCATTATGAGCTTCCTTAAGGTCACTGAATTGAGACAAACTCTGCTGAAAACAAAATGCCTTTTTTGAGCCCCGAGGCCTCCTGTGTCGTATCTTGTGGCAGTTGGGTAGGTAGTAAACATCTGTAAGGTGTTTCTACTTGAAAATAGTGTTTTGTTTTGTTTTTACTGAACTTCTATTTCAACATTACTAGCAGCTGGACTTTACAAAACAAGTGGTAATAATGACCTCCTTGTCCTTAAAATGTTAAGGACTAGGAAATTTATTTTCTTTACCTTCAAGTGGCAGTTTAATAGAGAAGAGACAAGATTTCCTTGAATGATGACCAAATACAAAAGCACAGGGAACTCACTGATATTTAGGGTTATAAAGTTGAAATTCTTTTAAAATACAACCACCTCTTCAAAACGATTTTTAGAATATCCTGTTTTCCCCATTGCCTTCAAGTTATCACTCCTCCCCCCTTTTGGTACCATGGATCCAACTCAGGACCCTGAGCTTGCAAGGCAGGCGGCGGAACCACTGAGCTAAATCCCCAGCCCATCACTTTTCTTTTTTATATAGAATGTATGTGACTCATTTTAGAAATGTCCTCTCCCAGGGTCATAAATATTCTATTATTTGAAGGATGTATTATTTAATTTTCACATTTAAACCTAAACATATACCTAGAGTTGATTTTTGTGTGTAATATAGGCTAAGAGAAAATTGCCCTCAGAGATTATTTACCAGATAGACAACCAAAATTAATTGGATTATTCTGTTGCTAGTCTTTCCTTTTATTTTTTCCACATTTAGTGAGTTCCTGAGCGCCAGGCCCTTCGCTTTCTGTCTTTCACACCCCACCTGTGTTATAGAGCTTTAGGACAAAGCCAGTAACCAGGGTCCTGAGCTGAGAGCAGCAGGGATAGTGCTGCACCACCAGCTGTTCTACTTCATGTGTGCTGTGGGTAGCCACAGGTGCCTGCAGGAGGTCCCTGCAGGACTCTCCAGCATTCACTGGATGATCAGCGTCAAGTAGCCACAGTCTGTCTGTCTGGCTTCTGAATTCAGGCCCCCAAATATAGGGGCTTCCTGACCCAACATCATTACTAGTCCATGGGTCAAATATAGGACCCTTGAGTTACTCATAAATCCCCAGTCAGCCATGCTTCTTTAGGCAGGTGAATGAGAAAATGATCTGACTTCTCTGAGCCTTTGTTAGTACATCTGTAAATGGAAACTTTTGCATGGGATTAGGAGGAGCAGTATTATGAAATGGGAAGAGCACCTAACACAGCGCCTAGCGTGTGAGTTCTTGCTGTGTAGCCCCATTGTCCGTGTTGTCGAGGTTCCTGACAAGTATAGAGTGAAAGTCCATGGCAGTGCATCTTCTTGAGCCATCAGCCTCTCTAGCCACCCTCTCAACTCGTCTTAGCCCCCAAAGATTCAGTGGCCTTTCTTCCCAAGGGAAATAAATCTCTTCACTTATGTTTCAACCTCAGTATAAAATATAAAATTTAAGAGTCCAAAAAGGTTTAACTGAAATGATAGCATTTTTTGTGCAATATCAAACTGATGAGGGTTCATACTGTTTGATACAGTGTTTCACTTCTAAGAATTAGTTACCCCATAAGATGTAGTTTGGAGTGCATGCAAAAATCCATGTGAAGCTGCATATGGTGGCAC